CGTGCTGGGGTGTGGTCGTGCTGGGGTGTGGTCGTGCTGGGGTGTGGTCGTGCTGGGGTGTGGTCGTGCTGGGGGGTGGTCGTGCTGGGGGGGGTGGTCGTGCTGGGGTGTGGTCGTGCTGGGGCGTGGTCGTGCTGGGGCGTGGTCGTGCTGGGGCGTGGTCGTGCTGGGGCGTGGTCGTGCTGTGGTGAGGTCGTGCTGGGGTGTGGTCGTGCTGGTGTGTGGTCTTGCTGGGGTAGGGTCGTGCTGGGGTCGGGTCGTGCTGGGCGTGGTCGGCTGGGCGTGTTCGTGCTGGGGCGCGGTCTGCTGAGGTTGTGTCCTGCTGAAGGGTTCCCCACCCTGTGATTTTCGATCGGGATTTCAAAACAAGCGTTTCGCTAGACATCCTCAAATTTTAATCGGCCCGGCTCCTTCGACTTCGATATTTATCAGGAGAAAGAATCCGCCGGCCTGTTCGGCACCGGGGACATGTTTCATACTAAAAGCGAACCCTGGGCCTACGCCCTTTCCGAAAAAAGACGACAAATTCGGCGTACGATTTTGCAGTACTTCGCCGCGGGAGCGGTGGAAACATGAAGGCGGGGGGGGGGCGCTTGCTGTAGCAATTGCGTAGCGTAGCGTCTGGCACGCTAACAAATCCAGGGTTTCGCGCCGATGGGCGATGTTACCTTCGGAAGAGGACGCGACGCGCCGCATTCCTCATCCACTGCCCTTGCGGTGTGTGGGGGCGTTGTGGCCACGCCGTCCTGGGGCGTTCTTCAAGACGAGCGTTTCCTGGGCGGTGGGGGGGTGCCCCTGGCCGCCTTCGTTATCTGTGCCTTCTGCCGCGGCACGCTGGCGCCATCCACGTTCGCCATCGTCGACGCGCGTGTCGTGGCAGCCGCCTTCATCCTGGCAGGCATGGCGCGGGCGCCAGAAAACGAAACAAACATATGTTGCGCGGTGCCCGAACGCCGCAGGCGCGGCAGATAGGAGAGGGAAGGAGGAGCAGGAGCAGGAGCAGGAGCAGGAGGAATACAATTAGGCGGTGGATGGGGATGCGGGGGAAGGGGGGAATGGGGCGAAAAGGGGGGCGAGGAGGAAAACTGGGGGAGGGGGCCGCGAGGAGGAAGGAGGACGCGCGAGGGGGGGCGCGGCCCCCGCCGAGGCTTGAAAACGCTAGAGGGCGGCAGGGGCAACGCCGGCGACGGCGCCGACGAGGGTTGGGGCGGAGACAGAAGGGCGCGCCGGAAGTCGGTCCTGGACCGACTTCCGAAAGTGGGTCCAGGACCGACTTCCGACGCGGGCCCGCGCCAGAAGTCAGTCCTGGACCGACTTCTGGCACAGCCTGGCGGCCGGCGCCAGAAGTTGGCCGACGGTCCGTGGGGGCCGTTCGAAGGGGGGGTTCTTGCGCTGGCAGGAGCAAGCGGCAGGTCGGCGGCAGTCGGCGGGAGTAGGCGGGGCCCACCGGCTGAGGGCCCGCCAGAGCTGGCGGAGAGGCGGACGCTCTTTCCAACAGACGTTGGCGGGAGGTCGGCGGCAGCCGGCGGAAGTACGTGCAGCCTGCGGCCGACGGCCCGCAGGAGGCCGCGGAAGTACGTGCAGCCTACGGGCGACGGCCCAGGGGAGGTTCGCGTCGCCCGACAGAAGTCACAAATAGACTGCGGCGGACTGACAGCGGGGGCCGGCGGGGATCCCTGGGAGGCCCGTGGCAACCGGAGGAAGTAAGCGTGGACCACCCAATTGTAGCCATTCGTTGCTTTTTCGCGGCTCAAGCAGCGCGGGGGCAGCTTTTTCTGGACACGCTATCATGGACGCGGCGCCCCCCCACCGCCCAGGAAACGCTCGTCTTGAAGAACGTCCCAGGACGGCGGGGCCACAACGCCCCCACACACCGCAGGGGCATTGGATGAGGAATGTGGCGCGTCGCGTCCTCTTCCGAAGGTAACATCGCCCATCGGCACGGAACCCTGGATTTGTTAGCGTGCCAGACGCTACACTACGCAATTGCTACAGCAAGCGCCCCCCCCCCGCCGTCATGTTTCCACCGCCCCCGCGGCGAATAACTGCAAAATCGCACGCCGAATTTGTCGTAGAGATTTTGTTTTGCTTCCCCAGGTTCAACGCCGTTCCTGCCCAGGCCCGGCGTGGCCGCCTTCGTGGACAGGTGCGAGAAGCGCGGCATCAAGCGGATCGTGGTGCCCGACGAGAAGCGGTTGGCCCGCCGCTTGATGGTGCAGGAAGAGGCGATCGCGGAGTGCGAAAAGCGAGGTCCGGAGTTGGTGCACGCCTCGATCCCGGGGCTGTTCACCAACAAGGACCCATGCACAGTTATCCAGAGACACATGGCCGGGGCCATTTCTCAGATGGAGTGCCAGGTGGCTGTGGGCAACATGAAACACGGGCGCGACCGAGCACGCAAAACAAGCACGGAGGTCTCGCTGGCGAACGAGCGGAAGTGCGAGGGCAGGAAGAACTTCCTGCAGCTGCACCCGCGGTTTGTACAGATATCCAGATGCCTGCGGCGCGCACCGCCAATGCCAAAGCAGCTGCCCCCCCCCCGGTCGTCCATAATCATTATAGTCACCACGGTTTTTCTTTGACGCAGTGGCAGGGCCACGCGCGCCTAGACGCACGCCTGTTGCAGTTGCTCCTGCTCATGGTCCTCCTCCTTTGACGGGCCGCGAGTCTCCCCAAATCGTCCCCTTGTTGCATGTGCAGTTACCGCAGACATGTGTAATCGATCCCGCATCGTACCATATCTTCTCACTCCACATCCTGCGGCGCAAGTTTGAGCAAAGTTTCTCGTCATTCGGCCGCCCAGGGCGGCGACCTCAGAGCGGGGAGGGAAAATAACGAATTACCCAACACACGCAACGATGGACTGCACAGGCGCGTGCTGCAGTAGTTTCGCGGAGCTGCTAGACACAAACTTGGAACATGATGGACCCACGAACCCGGAAAGGGATATAGACATGTGGAGCATGGGCACGTTTTCACGATACCCAACGGGGCAACACCTCACGAAAACATCCCACGAGACACCTCACGAAACATCCCACGAGACACCTCACGAAACATTCCGCGAGACACCTCACGAAACATTCCAGGAGACACCCCGCGAAACATTCCACGAGACACCCCACGAAACATCCACGACGACAGGCAAAAACTCAACCAACCAGG